TAGGGCATAGGTGTAGAGGAAATCGAGCCCCATAGTCATGATCAAAGTGAACATTAGGATAGCAAACTGAGAGAAGTCATAATCCTGTTTTGATCAAAGTGAACATTAGGATAGCCAACTGAGAGCAGTCATAATCCTGTTTTGATCAAAGTGAACATTAGTATAGCAAACTGAGAGCAGTCATAATCCTGTTTTGATCAAAGTGAACATTAGGAAAGCAAACTGAGAGAAGTCATAATCCTATTTTGATCAAAGTGAACATTAGGAAAGCAAACTGAGAGCAGTCATAATCCTGTTTTGATCAAAGTGAACATCAGGATAGCAAACTGAGAGCAGTCATAATCCTTTTTTGATCAAAGTGAACATTAGGAAAGCATTTTTTATGGATAGACACCTTCTTTAGTGCAGTGAATGCGGCATTTCATTGTAGATCCTAACACCGTTATCAAGCCGGTGATTGAGTAAGTCAATCAACATTAGTATTCTGATCAAAGTATTTCTGTACAAAAAGTAACAAAATCATAACTAATGTTAAAATATACCACTAGCCTCTAATGTAAAAACCATCCCGTTAGTCTATGGGATAGGTTTATCATGTTAGTGGGTAAGACTAAGTTGTAATCACAGTCATGCCTGATTTATTTGTCTGGTAATTGGCATGTCTGACAAATGGGATGTCTAACTTATGGGAGTAAACCGAATCTAAGTTTGACTTTGACTGAAATTGGTGGTTGTGCTCTTTTCCGGAGCAGAACTCTAAAACCATTCACTATTTCTTCACCAAACTTGGCACATAGATAGATCTGGTGGTGTACTTGTGCCTTTTGGTAGTTTTGGAATTCTGAATTAAATATTTTGGGCTTTCCCATGGCAACAAGTTTGACTTAGACTGAAATTGGTGGTAGTGCTCTTTTCCGGAGCAGTACTCTAAAACCGTTCAATGTTTCTTCACCAAACTTGGCACATACATAGATCTGGTGGTGTACTGGTGCCTTTTGGTAGTTTTGGATTTCTGAATAAAATAATTTTGGCATTTCCATGGCAACAAGTTTGATTTAGACTGAAATTGGTGATAGTGCGCCTTTCTGGAGCAGAACTTTAAAAACCTTTCAATACTCTCCTTCCACTTTTCTATATACACACCAAAATATTTGACATAATCATAACTCGTAGAAATAATCATGAAGAGTATTTTGCCATTGCGGGGGATATTGATGACTTTGTCTTCTTGTTGTCAAATTAGGATCAGGCACATCAACTATATACAAGGACTAAGCAACTGATTTGTGCCTAGATGCTCCAGTCCACTAAGGAGGCTGATGTTACGAAAGATCCCTTAGGCCCCCTTTAGACAGGATGGCGACCCCTCTGCCTTCCCTCTGCGTTCTAACAATTTTCAGAACACCACTCAACGCTCAAAGGAGGCACAACGAACGCAGAGAGAAGGCAGAGCCATCGTGATGAAGGCAGAGCAAAGGCAGAGCCATCGCCAAGGTCGCAGAGTGAAGGCACAACGGTTGGCTAAAGGAAGCCACATGAAAACTTCGTAAACTGCGCCATGGCCTCTGCCTTCATTGTGCAACCGTCGAACATTCATTGGCTTTAGTTGAGCATTCACTCTGCCTTCATTCAGCGACTAGCGCATACCTTTGAACAACCATGGCGTTTGCTCTGCCTTTACTCTGCCTCCCCGCTGCCTTTCCAGATTACATATAAATAGTTTTTTAACTGGAGGGTTGCGGCAAGTTTCAAACCAGGCTCTAAACTTGCTCGCCAATTGGTGTTTTGTTTGGCAATTCTTGGGCCAACCTGTTCGTCAAAAAGGGCTGGCTCCATTCTCAAATAACTGTAGAATGAGTAATGACCCTTTATCTTGTAGACACAGTTCTTGCATTAGTTGGTTGTAGTCCCCTAATTGCAACCGCCTGTGTTGCATTAACCATGGGCGGACACACAGGGTTCTCAATTTTTCTTCTTCTACGTCTATTTATCCTTCTATTTAAGATGGCAATGGCTATTTGGTTGAAAAATAATGCTTGTTGACCTTGCGAAAAGGCTATTTGCAAACGCAGTTCATTGTTCATGCTTACTGAAGTCGTTATAAGATGATTTCACTTAGCCTTCTCATATGGAACTTATGATTACTCTAGGTATTTAAGTACCTGGCTATGACATGTTATAATTAGTTTCGACTGTTCAGCTACCTGAATACTCTAGGTATATAAGTACCTGGCTATGACATGTTTTCAGGTAGTTGAACAGTCGCCACAGAAGGCAGAGGGAAGGCAGAGCGAATGCCAATGAATGCACAAGGAAGGCACCACGGTCAGCGAGGAGGCAGAAGCATTGCTGAACGGATGCCATTATTTGCATATGATGGTACAGAGAAGGCAGAGGGGAGGCAGGGGGAAGGCAGAGAGGACACCTAGGACTCTCAAAGAACGCCACTGACGTGTAAAAAATTGGCAGCTTAGGTCGTACAAGGAAGGCACAAAGGACGCCGGAGCAGTTAAACTGAAACATAGGTTTGGCGACTGTTGTGCGTCCTGGCAATTTTTAGAAACGCAGAGAGAAGGGAGAGTGGTCGCTGTCCTGTGTAAAGGGGGCCTTAACAGTCACCATGGAGATTTGAGGGGATACTGTCCAGATGTCCTTGCATATTTAGACAGCATCATGAAGGTAGTTTGTGATCCACAAGCTCTCCTGGCCAACCTTGTTTGGCAGTTTATGCTTCATTGATGGGATAATTATTTTCACTGGATTATCCGGTCCAGACTCAGTTGTTTACAAACAAGATCCTACAGCTGTAATTCTGGCAATGCATGTCTACCAAATGAGATCTATTGGTAGTTTTATCAGGTTTATTGTGCCACCCTTCGAACCTATGGATAAAGCATCTCACTCTCATCTGGCATGAAAAACTTCAATTGCATCTGTCATTCTGCCCATCTATTCCATCTGTCAAGAGCTACATGCCCTTGATGAGCACTCAGTCACCTTTTCTAAGGATGAATCTAGAGTCAAACACAGAGCTGTCCAGACTTTCTTGCTAAGAACCAGAAGACAGCATGTTCAGAATGTTGGGACATTTGTACACCATTCATATACCGTTGCTCCCACATAGGATAGATATCTACCAGATAGAGTTCCGTGCTTAGTCAGAATTCTGAAATGGTATTTCCAAAATATTGAACCCTTCTGGAGAGGATTCAGATGAATATGAATGTTGTGCCAGGAACATTGTGGCTAAGAGATAACGAAGTGCATGGTTGCTGTTGGGATGAAGAAAAACCATCAAACTTATCCACTCCATTGTGGAAGATGGGTCTCCAGAATAATGGATCCCTCTGATTGCTTGACAAGCTGTTTCCTCACCTCTTGCCTCATTGAAGACCCTATCATAAGAACAGGTCATGTCTGCCTGCCATGTTATTCAAGCTAAGAGACATATCACAATATTTGGCGGGGTTGGTTTAGTGATGGGGACACATTTTGGGGTGTACTCATGAATTGATGTTTTTACCTGAACACACCTTGCAGTAAAACTCAATCTTGAGGTTGGTTGTTGGAGGCTTCTTGCTGCAAAACTTGAGTCTAACAATGTAGACGCAAGAATAACGAATCTTCTCAAACTTGCACCCGCAGGATTTGTTTGTTGATGGAAAACAATGATTACACTTCAGGCGTTGAAGTACGTTGACCAATGGACAAAACACGTTACACGTTGATCGTTAGCTATTGGAATCGTTGATAGAAAGGATAAGTTTAGATGAGTGGATGAGATTTGGAAAACTAGAATAAACAAGCAATTTGTAATATAATTTGACTATAAAATGTATTGCATTGACAAAATATCATCTAAAATCATGTTTAACAATATAGAAAACGTTTGAACATTATGTAAACATATTTAGCAATATTGCATGTAACAATAGCATTATGAGGTTGTGAACTTCCAAGAAGACTATTAAACATTATATTTGCACAAAATAGAATAGTAACAGTGAGAAAATAACACACTGAAGCGTGGGGTCCCAGTACCACATTTGCTTTTTTATGGTCACATGACAGGAAAGTGGTACCATGGGATATGGAACTAAAGAAATCTGCAAGAGATTCTGTGGAAAGCTGGGCTTAACTCTAGATGGCTGAATTACTAACTAGGGAGGTAAAAACTGATACTGGTATGAAGTTAGCAGCCTAGCTATACTGGACCGTTGCGGCACTAAAGAAGCCCTCTAGGGGAGTCACTCCGCAACGAGTGGGAGGGTCGCCGAGGTGAGCGTGGAAGCTTGGGGCGCGAGTGGAGCCATATGCATATGAAAATTATGATAAAACAATGAGCAATGTTTATCCATAAAGGGATATAATTCTGTATTCTCATCTGGTAGACAAGAACTTATTGGATGTAATGTCATGGTGAGGTCATCATGACGTCATCATATATACATTGTACCATTAATCGGAAGTGACATCATAAGACAACAAATTTTATGATATCCAGCAGCAGCATTAAAATTAAACAAGTGTTAGAGGTAGTATTCTAAGAATTATTATCATTATTGATAATGTTCAGTTATACCTGTCATACATGCATGAGACCATTTAAGTATTTAGAGTGTCCACTGTACATATCTTCTGAAGGACTTGACAGATGGTGACCAGCTTCAAAATATCATGTGATGCACGAGTCTGGCATTCAGTTAAGGGTTTAGAACACATACCTGTTTATCAAACTGGCTGTCATCATTCTTAATATATATTTCATATGACATAACTCTAAACACTCTGCACCTTTGTTGCATGCATGTCAGTAATGCTTCACTCCTCCCACAGGTGGTACTGGGATGTTCCTGCTTGACCAGTAATAAAAGGTATATATCTCCCGTAAGTGGTTGCCTTGGTGCTGTATCTGGTCTTGAGCTACTGAGACCAAAGGAAAATTAGCCTCTATGTGCTACTAATCTTGATAATATAATGTATTTTTCTATTCATTTTAGGCATATCTCAAAACCTCCAAAATGGCACATTCTGGTCATCTCAATAAGGATCATCCTAACCCCGGGTCCAGTAATGAAAACTGGGTAATTGTTGGAGGGAATGCAGGATCTTCTGATCAAATGACAGAAATACACAAGCAGCATTCAAAATTAGCCCATGAAAACCAACAGCAGTCTGTGAGCACTGACAGCCAAGACTTAAGTGGAGACGGTCAGAAAGGAAGTTTGCAAGAGATTCCAGGAAGTGGTTCTCATCGTGCTGAAGTTCACTCAGCTTGTAAGAAGAATGATGACAATGCACAAGCTGCTTCTGATATGGACAGTGTCAGTAAAATACCATTGCCAGGTATGTTTCAGTATTGTAATGTCTTTTGAATGATTCTTTTATAAAATAACCTTATCTTTTTATCCCACCGGCATGTAATGCGGTGGGATATAGTCGTCGCCTCGTCCGTCTGTCCGTCCGTCCGTAATCATTTTGTTTCCGGAGCATAACTCAAAGACCGTTCAATATTTTTCAACCAAAATTGGTAGATATGTCAAACATAACCTAAGGTGGTGCCTTTTGCTATTTACAGATTATTGTCATTTTTATTTTTCTCGGTTTCCATGGAAACGTTTTGGACTTAGTCCCAAAAGTGAGGGGTGGGCTTCGTTTCCGGAGCATAACTCAAGAACCATTCAGTATTTTTTAACAAAACTTGATAGATATATCAAACAGATCCTAAAGTGGTGCCTTTTGCTATTCACAGATTTTTGGCATTTTTATTTTTCTCGGTTTCCATGGAAACGATTTGGACTTAGTCCCAAAAGTGAGGGGTGGGCTTCGTTTCCGGAGCATAACTCAAGAACCGTTCAATATTTTTCAACAAAACTTGGTAGATGTATGAAACAGAACCTTAAGTGGTGCCTTTTGCTATTTGCAGATTTTTGGCATTTTTATTTTTACCGGTTTCCATGGAAACATTTTGAACTTAGTCTAAAGAAGTAAGGATTGCTTTCGTTTCCGGAGCATAACTCAAGAACCGTTCAATATTTTTCAACAAGACTTGGTAGATGTATGAAACAGAACCTTAAGTGGTGCCTTTTGCTATTTGCAGATTTTTGGCATTTTTATTTTTCCCGGTTTCCATGGAAACGATTCGGACTTAATCCCAAAAGTGAGGGGTGGGCTTTGTTTCCGGAGCACAACTCAAAAACCTCTCTATATCTTTCAGCAAAACTTGGCAGATCTTGAAGTGGTGCCTTTTGCTATTTGCAGATATTTGTGATTCATTATTTTCTCGGTTTCCATGGAAATGATTCGAACTTAGCCCCAAAAAGGAAGGGATGGGTTTCGTTTCCGGAACACAACTGGAAAACTTCTTAATATCTTTCAGTAAAACTTGGCAGATATGTGAGGCAGATCCCAAAGTGGTGCCTTTTGCTATTTGCAGATTTTTGTCATTTATTTTTTTCATGATTTCCATGGAAACGATTTGCACTTAGTCTAAAATCAAGCTGGACTTTAAGTAACTGTCAGATGATTTGTTCTTTCAAAGATGTGGGGGCCGGGGGGATATGTCATCTTCTGATGACTCTTGTTGTACAATCTTGTGATAATGAAATGATCAGCTGATCTCCATTTAAACACTGTTCTCTGATTAAGCATTTCAAGGTTTGTCTTGTATTTTTCCATTGCTTTGATTTGTTGGCTAACCCTGACAGCATTTATGTAAGCAACTGTTATTATCCCCCGCAACGCGTTTTGTGGGGGATATTAAAATGGACTCCGTCCGTCCGTCCGTGCACATTTGTCTTTTCCGGAGCAGAACTCTAAAACCGTTCAATATTTCTTCACCAAACTTGGCACATACATGGATCTGGTGGTGTACTGGTGCCTTTTGGTAGTTTTGCAATTCTGAATAAAACATTTTTGGCATTTCCATGCCAACAAGTTTGACTTAGCCTGAAATTGTGGTAATGCTCTTTTCCGGAGCTGAACTCTAAAACAGTTCACTATTTCTTCACCAAACTTGGCACGTAGATAGATCTGGTGGTGTACTGGTGCCTTTTGGTAGTTTTGGAATTCTGAATAAAATATTGTTGGCGTTTCCATGGCAACAAGTTTGACTTAGCCTGAAATTGTGGTAATGCTCTTTTCCGGAGCTGAACTCTAAAACTGTTCACTATTTCTTCACCAAACTTGGCACATAGATAGATCTGGTGGTGTACTGGTACCTTTTGGTAGTTTTGGAATTCTGAATAAAATATTTTTGGCATTTCCATGGCAACAAGTTTGACTTAGACTGAAATTGGTGATAGTGTTCCTTTCTGGAGCAGAACTTTAAAAACCTTTCAATACTCTCCTTCCACTTTTCTATATACACACCTAAATATTTGACATAATCATAACTCGTAGACATAATCATGAAGCGTATTTTGCCATTTGCGGGGGATATTGATGACTTTGTCTTCTTGTTGTAACTTGTTTGCCTTTGGTTTGATAGTTAAACCAATTATTGGTTTTAATTGCAATGTGGTGCATTTATTGTAATTGGAAAGTTAGAAAATACATTGATAATGGTAGAATAATGAACTATTTGTATTGCCTGATTTTATTAAATTGGGAATCAAAGGTAATATTCTGTATTTGTGAGTAAAAAGAAAATAACAGAAACAGTTAGTAATGTTTAGATTTTAGCAATATTTCAGCAATATCATGGTGGGGACACAAGAAATGCTCTTCACACATCAAACCTGGTCTTCAGCAGAATGAGAAAACGCTTTAACCACTTGTCTTAGTAATCCCATTGTTCCTGAACAGAAACAGAAATTTAGCATGACTACATTAGAAGTTAGTTACATGTGTTTCTGATATTTCAAAACGTATATGTAAATATATTTTTTGCAGGTAAATTGATTTCCTTGTTGAAGATGCCTTTGAACTGATTACTAGTATCTTGCACTCACATGTCGAAAAATATTATGTTTTCTGTTTAGCGGATTTTTTTTAGTAACAGATGCCGAGGAATTTTACCTTTTGAAAGCTCCAAAAGAAATTTTCTGGCATCAAGTACTCTTAATGAAACTCCTTAAAACCTTCAAATTTCAATTATTTTTACAAATCTATGTCTATTATATTACCATAAATCCTGTATTTTGGCAGTAATCACACAAAATACTGTAGACACACAACTAGTTGTTAGGATAATAGTAACACTTCTTCCAGCCTGAATCAGATGGGAATAGTACTTTTAGATGTTGACTCGATTGTAATGTGTTTCACTACCACAAAGTCACAATGTTTCTGAGGTTAAATCAGTGGTGCATTCTCCATGTTGTTGAAGTGTCGAGTTGAATTATACAAGATATTTTTTATGGATTAAACTTCTTTTTTAATTTCTCTCACAACGTTTCGAGACCATTCCAGGTCCCTTCATCAGGTGAACTGGCAGTTAGGACTATGACGTCGTCACTGTGACGTCATTACTGAGTTATGACTTCACAATGCAAGTGACATCACAGTACACTAGGGAGAGTACTGTATAAGTGAGTTAGTTACATAATGATGAAATTCATGCTAAATAATAGAGTTGAAAGTTGAATTGTCAATACACAACAACTGCTAATTACACAAAGGTTACTTGATAGCAGGCTTTCCAAAAAGAATAGTAGACTCGTTTTTTCTTGTATCTAAAGTTCATCTAAAGTTCATCAAAAGTTAATCAAGAGGTCCCACGCGACTTGGCAGGTATACACCTTGATCACGCGATTAATTGCTGGTTTATGTCTCCTTATCTCGACAGCTTCCTGTAGTTTTCTCCGGACGCCAGTCATTGTTATTTCTCGAAATCACCCTAATATCATTCCACATGATTACATGACTTGGGTTATTTGCCTTGTGCCCGATATAGCTGACTTATCATTTTGTTTGCATACTGATGACTTGTGTTCAGCAACCCGGTGTTAATGGGCCTGAGAGTCTCGCCAATATATTGATCGCCACAGCTGCATGGTATTTGGTATACACATCCTCTAGGGTTGGGGCTTCCATTGCAAGATCCTCTACCATTTGCCCGGAGGAGTGTCTTAATTGCTGTACCGCTAGAGAAAGTTATATCAAAGCCCGCTTTGCTTTGATTAGTCGGGCTATTTGCTGGCTGACTGGTCCCACGTAGGGTATTGTGATCCTGATCGGGGATGGTTCAGGCTTGAGGCGCGGTTCTGATACTTCAAGCGTTTTGGTGATAGTCCTGGAGACAAGACGGGCTGGGTAGCCATTGAGGACGGTAAAGGTTCTCTTGAGGTAATCAATTTCACTGTTTAAATTATCTGGGTGACTTATACAGTTTTGACGAAATAAAAAAACAATTTTTGCACAAAAGGTTGATTTCTTTTGTGAAACAGATCCCAACTTGAATGCTATTTTGTCACTGACAATCTGAGCTACTTAAGACTAATTGTAAGTTTTGATGTTTTAGCCTTCAATCACTTTACACAAGTGGATTGCGATTGTGGGTGAAGCCTAAGATCGCAATCTTAATGATTTACAATAAGTATACCGCTAAGATTTTTTTGTGCAAGTGGGCCCTAACTTTTATGTGTGTTGTCAGTTCCTAATTGATTATGTTATCAAAGCAAGCAAAGTTTCAACTCGCTGATATGATATGATTAATAAATGTCAAGGTAAAAAAAAATCAACAACGGCAAGATGTGTTTCATTTATAAATCGAGGAAAATGTATTAGCACTTTCAAAGATGGTGTACATTCTTAGAAATAAATTGACACAAGCATTGCTAGAAATTTAGGAGGTGAAGTGGGATGACTATGAAAGCAATATCACAAGAAATGTAATATAACACAGTATTTTTTTATTAAATTTATGTAGATTATGTTGCATCAGGATAAATGCACTTGATATTTCAATGTGATTAAGCGACATCCCTTGTCTCTAGGTACCTTTACAACATAGTTCTACATGCGCTTAGTTAAATGACCTGCGAAGATCTGGGTTAGACTTGAGCTTCAATAACCCATGCTTGTCGTAAGAGGCGACTAACGGGATCGAGTGGTCAGACACACTGACTTGGTTGACACATGTCAAATGCGTAGATCGATGCTCATTATGTTGATCCCTGGATTGACTGTCCAGACTCAATTATTTACAGACCAACGCCATATAGCTGGAATATTGCTGACTGTGGCATAAAACTAAACTCACTCACTCATTCTTAGTTTAATGGCTTTGATGACTTTATTCCTGGTTTGTAAGAGGGGGGATCTGTTTTAAAACCTGATGAAATGTTTAAATATTGATGGAAAATTTATATGCCTTGCTGTTTTTAAAATGTGAAAGTCACATC